AAATGGACGGAAAATCGAATGGACAAAAGGTCGAATGGACAAAAGGTTGAAATGCAGAAAAAGTCTAAATGGACCAAAGGACGAAATGGACAAAAAGTCGAATGGACAAAAGGTCGAGTGGACATAAAGTAAAAATGGACAAAACTTCGAATGGAAAATGGGTCGAATGAACAAATTGGCGTATTGACAAAAGGTTAAACGAACAAAAGGTCGAAATGGACAAAAGGTCAAATGAAGAACAGGTCGAAGCGACAAAAGGTCAGATGGAAAAATGGTCGAATGGATTAAGGTTGGATGGACAAAAGGTCAAAATGGACAAAATTTCGAATGGACCAAAGTCGAATGAACAAATTGACGTATTGGTATAAGGTTGAAATGAACAAAATATCGAAATGGACGAAAAATCGAATGGACAAAATGTCGAAATGGGCAAAAGGTCAAAATGGACAAAAATTCGAATGAACAAAAGGTCAAAATGGACAAAAATTCGAATGAACAAAAGGTCAAAATGGACAAAAGGTCAAAATGGACAAAATTTCGAAATTGAATTGAAATTGACAAAAGGTCGACTTGAAAAATGTCAAATGGACAAAAGGTCGAATGGAAAAAAGGTCGAATGAACAAATGTTCGAATGGACTAATGGTCAAAATTGACAAAATTTCGTATGGAAGAAAGTCGAATGAACAAATTGTCGTATTGACAAAAGGTTGAAATGAACTATAGATCGAAATGGACGGAAAATAGAATGGACAAAAGGTCGAAATAGACCAAAGGTCGAAATGGACAAAAGGTCAAAATGGACAAAAGGTCGACTGGACATAAGGTCAAAATGGACAAAACTTTGAATGGAAAAAGTCGAATGAACTAATTGTAGTATTGACAAAAGGTTAAAACGAACAAAAGATCGAAATGGACGAAAAATCGAATGGACAAAAGGTCGAATGAACAACATGTCGAAAGGACAAATTGTCGAAATTTACAAAAGGTCGACTTGAAAAAAGTCGAATGGAAAAAAGGTCGAATGAATATAAGGTCGATTGGACTAAAAGTCGGATGGACAAAAGGTTGCATGGAAAATATGAACCAAACAAAAGGTTGAATGATCTATTGATCGAATGGACAAAATATCGAAATGGACAAAAGTTCGAATCGACAAAAAATCGAATGGACAAAAGGTCGACAAGACATAAGGACAATTGTCCAGCTCAAACCTTTGTAGGAATAAGAGGTTGAACCATTATGATCATTAAAAAAAGGTCAAAATGGACAAAACTTCGAATGGAAAAAAGTCGAATGAACAAATTGTCGTATTGACAAAGGTTGAAATGAACAAAGGATCAAAATGGACGGACAATCGAATGGTCGAAAGATCGAATGGAAAAAAAGGTCGAAATGGACAAAAACGACAAAATGGACAAAATTTCGAATGGAGAAAAACTGGAATGAAAAAAATGTCGAATGGACAAATTGTTGAGATGGACAAATGGTCTAAATGGGCTGAAGGTCCAATTACTTTGAGTGGATCAAAAAGAGTGAAAGCTTTGAGTAACCTAACTTAAATCGAAGACAACATATCAAGAAGACTGGCAACTTTGCAAGAATCCAAGCGACAGATACAATGGCGCTGCGCTTGAGTGAAGGTGGAAGCAACGCATAGAAAAATGAGCAAAACCCTTCTTCTGAGGATGTAATCTTTGCTATCAAATTTGTTCGAAGCATTTACCTTTGAGCGGCAGATGACGCGATTGTACCTGTCTCATAGCGTTCGTATGAGAAAATGGAAGAGTTGCCAGTCTTCTTGATTTGTTGTCTTCGCTTAAATTCGATGCATATTTTCGCCCTATGAATGTTATGGCAGTTCTCACAATGGACCGTAGCGAACAAATCAGTTTTTCCACATTTAATATTTTTATATAAATCCTTAACAGATGCAGTGCATTAGCAAATATTAAAAAAATTTCTTTACAAATCTTTGTTCGCTGATGACACAGGCATTTCCGCTAAAGGAAGAAGTCTTCGTGTTATTTGCAGCAGACTGCAGAAAAGTTTAGATATTTTCTCTTCTTATTTACAAAAATGGAAGATTTCTCCCAACGCTTCCAAAACTCAACTTATAATATTTCCACATAAGCCTAGAGCTTCGTTTTTGAAACCTAGTAGTAGTCACATAGTCACTATGAACGGAGTTCCAATTTCCTGGTCAAACCAAGTGAAATATCTTGGATTAATACTTGACCAAAAATTAACTTTTAAAGATCACATTGAGGGCATTCAAGCCAAATGTAACAAATATATTAAATGTTTGTATCCTCTTATAAACAGGAAATCCAAACTTTGCCTGACGAATAAACTTCTAATATTTAAACAAGTTTTTAGACCGGCCATGCTTTACGCTGTGCCAATATGGTCTAGTTGCTGCACTACCAGGAAAAAAGCACTTCAAAGGATTCAGAACAAAATTCTGAAAATGATTTTGAAGTTGCCTCCCTGGTACAGTACAACCGAAGTACATAGAATTTCGAATGTTGAGACTTTAGCACAAATGTCCAACAAAATAATTAATAATTTCAGGCAAAAATCGTTGCAATCCTCAATTGCAACGATTAATTCCCTTTATACTTAGTTAAGATTTAGTTTTAGTTTTTAGTTTTAAGATATCAATTGTTATACTGACATGCAGGTTAAAAAACCTGTTTAAAATACTGAATTGCCAAGACATGAACAATGTAAAAACACTTAGATATATATCATAACAATTAAGGCTGGTACGTTACTGCAGTAACTGGAGCACCTAGGTTAAAATGAAATGTAATTTATTTTGAATTTGGAACAAATAAAGAGTTAAAAAAAAAAAAAAAAAAAAAAAAAAAAAAATTCTTTAATCAATATTTTTTGATTTTGTTTTAAAAAAAGCTTCTGAAAATCAAAGTTTTGAAAAATTTAAATACTTACTAAATAAAATACGCTTAAAAATTGACATCAACTCGAAAATTGTTTTCACTGTTTGTTTTTGGTTAGCTTGATTTTGTAATTTTTATACAAAATAAAATATTTGTGACTAAAATCGTTTTCTTTGCTTACATTACAAATATATTGCACATAAAACAGTTCAAATTTGTTTTCCAGAAGATGTTGTTCTTCGAATTTTGACAATTTTTTATTCAAGAATTTGAATATAAAAAAATACAATTTTCATATCCCTTTTTTGTTAGATAAAAATTAAACTTATGAACCACAATATTTTTTGATATTTAAGTTTCAACACTTGTGTAGCTTTTGAGTGGAAATCGTAGAAAAATAAATTTTACGTATTAAATTTTCCCAGAAATAATAAATTTTTCCCTGCAACTTTGTCTCAAGCGTCATGTTGATGTAAAGTGACTTTTCCAAGCTACGATTTATTGAAAAAAATTGATATACGTCATTTTTAAAATGGCCGAGTTTTATTAAAAATATTAATGAATGCCCATTGCCCATTGATTGCAATTCAGTGTCAACAGTTCAAAAGGACATAATTGCTTTTGTAAACAATGGCTTGAGCCGGCGATTTCTAGCGAAAAAAAGGTCATAGATGAAAATTATTGATACCAACTGGTAGAAGAATGTTTCCTTTACCAGCTAACATTGTTAATTTGTAGAGGTGAGCTTTGATTCGCGAGAAATGGATGGCTATTGTTTATAAAAGCAATTACGCCCCTTGTTGACACTGATTTATGCAAATCGGAACTGCTTACCTGGGAGTCAAATTTTCTTTTGAAATCCAATGAAATCTCAAACCAACAAAGCAGAAATCATTCGTCAAACTAAACTTCTTCGACGAAGCAACATATGCCCCTTCAGCGCTCCCACTGAGTCACTCACACGCCTATGACCTCCCACTAGGCTACCATTTAGCTGCTGGAAGCCTAGCCAAAAAAAAAAAAACAAAAACCAGAAGTCCATCAGGAATCGCAAACGACCAAATTGCCGGCGATAGCCCGTGGTGAACAATATAGCAATCATTTTTGACATCTTGATGTAGATGTAAGTCCTCCTAACTTCTACGATCACACCACACATTCGGCGCTTGCAAATGACAGGGTTTTGTGAAAAGTGAAACTTGGAATTTGCTGCCACCACTATCATGTCATTCCGTGGACATTTGGCCATTCCGCAGATCCTTCAGGCGATCGATCTACACATCTAGGCATTGTCCGCGGAGTGTGGCAGACTGTGGGAAACGTTCGACCTGATGAATCGAAATGTTCCCCATTGTTCCTCGTGTAAATGCAGCCAATGCACTTATCTGATTTCGGGCGTCCACTCGGTGATTACCCTTACCCATGCACACTGCTCGCTCTTCTGCCCATCGATCGCCTAATGGGTGAGAACTTTGGCACCTGAAATCGCTTCCTCCTTGATGACTCTCGCTTCGTCAGTTTTTGCTGTCACTATGCTGTGCTATTATTGTCATCCACTTTACACGCCCACCGGCATTGTTTCCCCTCGCTTCGAACCGGGGCTAAACAAATTGCTACACAGTCACATCAACCCATCACATTCACTACCATTCCCGTTTCTGAAGTGATGAATAATTAACCGAATTCGGTGTTGTTGTAATGAGGATTCATCGGAAATTTGGCCTAGCCACGAAAAACTGTCATGCACGGCAATCACTTGGGAGGGGATGGTTTCCAACGATTAGGGTGTCCTCCACTATCTCTCTTCGTCAAGCATTTACGTAATTTACATACGACGAAGGCGACAATGGGATGGAAATTATGCTTCGATTAGGCATCGCTTTTTCTTCCTGTTCACAGAGTGTCGCAAGCTGGGGATCCTCCCACCATCCAACGAACATTGACGTGTCGATTTCTTCATTTGTAAAGGTCGCTGTCGCATTCGTGGTTCAATTACTATGCATGATGACTCCCACTAGCATTTGGTGGAATATTATTTCGCGCATTGTCCCCGTTCGTTGTTGATATTTACGTTTCGATTTCCCATTTATTTTCCACAGACTCGACGATCATCTGGTGATTTCGCACCACTACCCAAAGGACGCCTATCGGTGCGAGCTCTGCCCGAGGGCGTACTGCTATCGACCGTCGCTGCTGCGGCACCGGGCCATCGTTCACGGTGAAATCCGGCGGTACCCCTGCGAGAATTGTCCCAAGGTAAGTAACTGTGTAAGTGTCGTTCTGGGTTTTTTGATTGAATGATATATGATAACTCTGAGTCGACAATGTACTCTGATTCTTTTTTGTTTTATGGTTACAAAACTATGAATTTTACATAAAAAAAAAATACACAGTCAAACAGATAAGAAAAAAAAGAAGAACAAAACGAAGAAAAAATAATTACTGTATAAACAAGAAGATACAAGACACGAACAACAAACATAACACTAACAAACAAAAAACTATCAAATCACATGATATTCTAAAAAAAAACCACATTGAGCATCACGAGCAAATCCGTATTAAAATCATTCCTTCTTTTTCCTGCACCCATTTCTTGCAGGTCTTTACCGATCCATCCAACCTCCAGCGACACATCCGTACCCACCACGTTGGAGCCCGGAGCCACGCGTGTCCCGAGTGTGGAAAAACTTTCGCAACCTCGTCCGGTCTGAAGCAGCACACCCACATCCACTCGTCGGTCAAGCCGTTCCAGTGCGAGGTCTGCCTGAAGGCTTACACCCAGTTTTCGAACCTCTGCCGGCACAAGCGCATGCATGCCGACTGCCGCATGCAAATCAAGTGCAACAAGTGCGGACAAAGTTTCAGCACCGTAACGTCGCTCTCCAAGCACAAGCGATTCTGTGATTCGACCTCCGTCGGAGGAGGACCTCTACATCCCTCAACGGGCCATCAACAGCAAGCCTCCGGAGTTGGCAGTCTGCCGCACAACATGGCCACACCTCCGAATCCGTTTCTCATGTTCCACGGAAGCCCTTTCTTCCCACCGGGATTCCGTCCGTATCCCGGAATGCCCGGCATCTTCCCACCAAACCCCGCTCAAGCTCCCCAATTTCCCTTGTCATTCTTCCCCAAACCGTCTCCTGTTCCGGTTGAAATGGACCGCAAGACTCCATCGCCACGCCACATGAGCCTGATGGAGCAGTACGGTCAGCAGACGATGAAGATTTCCCCACCCACGGCGGAAGAAGCCACCAACCATCTGAGACCATCTCCAGCCCGTCCGATCCCGGTCAACTTCAACTCGATCCCATCGATGACTTCAACTCCGATTGCACCAACTGCAACTGCAACGGCTACCAATACAGCAATCGCAGCCCAGTTAAACAACAACAATCACATCAAAGCGGACACCCTGAACCGTAGCCGGGAGAATGGTTCCCTGAACAGTAGTCTGGCCTCGCGGGGAATTCCATCGGAAGTGCACAGCTCCGAAGACGAACTGCCACCGGGTGGATCGATTCGGGTGAAGGACTTTTCCATCTGCTCTACCGCGTCCTCGTCCGGGTCGTTGGAGATCAAAGAGGAACGGCAATCTCCGCTAATGTTGCTTGGCAAGCGGAGGAAGCCCTCGATCGATGTGGTTAAGGAAGAGGAGGAGGAGGAGGAGGAGGAAGAGGAAGAACAGGAGGAGAACGATAACGAGCAGAAAGATGAAGGGGAATCGGAGCTGCCAGTTAAGGTAAGGTTTTGGAATGGTGTGAATGGTTGCCAGATTTTTAGAAAAAAAAAATTTACGTAAGACTACGTGTTTGATGGCTGTACTGGGGTGCAAATCGAAACACTGTGTGACGAAATAGTGTCAGGCTTTAAACGCTTATAACTTGGCTATTGATTGATGGATTTCAATTCTTCTCACAGTGTTTGATTCAGATTTGGTGTATGCTTTGGTTGATATAAAGATTGTCGTAATTTATCATTGGTAAAGGATTGAAAATTGATCAAACTTTTTGGCCACTTATTGCTTGCTTTAACTTGACAGTACGACTAGATAGAAGTTTGCTGTATTCAGTAAAGTGGTTCTAAATGACAAACCTATCGTATCTCATTCGAAAAAAATCACTAAGTACCATTTGATACTAATGGCTAGCTTAAGTCGACATCTCGACTAGATAGAAGGTTGCGGTCAACACGACCTTTTGTAAAGTGGACAGATTAGTTCTGAATTCTCATACCAGGCGGCTCGAATATACGATTTGCTTTAACTTGAAAGCTTAACTAGATAGATGGTTGCGCTGTCATCCTTCCAATCGGAGGAGGAAGATTAACTTTGTGACCGCGCACAGCACACAGACGGATTCGCCCAAGAAAAGGCATGCACTAGAACTAGATGGTACTGTACTTTGATAGTTTGTTTAGCAAGTGTTGGAACCGAAGGCAGCCGATTGTTACAACAATCCGTAGACTACACACTAAGATTTTTTTTCCGTGCTCGGTAAATTTTACCGAAATCAGAACAGCTGAACGCTCGGTAAAACTTTGACCTTCATTTTAAAGGCTATTGAATTTGAAAATAATATTAAAACATGTTCAACCTTGTTGAAATGATCAAATCTTGTCATTTTAGTGGAGATTTAGTTTCAAAGTAGCTGAAAAGCAATTGAATTGAATTGCATAAATTTTACCGAAAAGTTCAGCTGTTCAGATTTCGGTAAAAATTACCGAGATCAGCGATAATTTCTAAGTGTGTACACACTTAGATTTTTTTGCCGAGATGGGCACCACCGAGCAGCTCGGCATTTTATTTTGCTGGAAATTCAGCAAAAAATATGTTTGTTAGCTGAGATCTCGGCAAAATTCCCGTTTGTTAGCTGAATCTCGGCAAGTTTTTCACTGAGATCCAGCAAAATAAAATGCCGAGCTGCTCGGTGGTGCCCATCTCGGCGAAAAAATCTAAGTGTGTACGTAGAATTTAGTTTCCAATCCATCTCTCTTTTGCAAATGAATCTAGCTTTACGATGACACCGATTGACTCATCGATTCCTGCGAATGTACACACTTTAAACAATTGGTTAGGGAATTTAAAGCAGAATGATCAACCGGTACTTGTGCCATACTCACTAACTTTCAATAAACAACGATTTAATTTCACTTTTATAATAATATTATAAACAAAACAAAAAACAATCTCGTAGTCCTACGTCAATAATGCAATCATGCTTGGGACACAACGCTCAACTTTTTTTTTTTAAACTTCTTTTATTAATTTGTTCGGCTAAATCTTATCGATTTTTTTTTTCATCCTTGACAGATTCCAAAGCTCGAAACCCCATCGGAACAACCGCTGGATCTGAGCGTGACCAAGAAGAAGAACGGCACCCGCAGTCCGACACCGATCGAGGTGACCACACCGACTCCGACTCCAACTCTGACATTGGAACCCACGCCGGCCAGAAGCGTCTCACCGAAGCCCATCAGCTCTCCACAAATGACCGTTCCGGCGAGTCCGTCACCGACGCCCTCGCCACGTCCCACCCCGTCGCCATCGTCACCGGGTGCCCAGCAGATCTCCTACCCGCGTCCCATCTACCCGATGCTGCTGGAGGCCATGTACCGTCCAGGAATACCAAATTTCCAGCGGCCGCCGTTCAATTTTTTAGGCTCCCTTGGCCCGAACTTTGACCTACTAAAACGTAACGCCTCGGCCGCCGCGTTTCCCCCGAAGCCCTTCCACGAGGTCATTATGGCCGCCGGTGGGCTGACCGGCGGTGGAAAGGTCAAGGACCGCTACTCGTGCAAATTCTGCGGCAAGATATTTCCCCGCTCGGCTAATCTGACGCGCCACCTACGCACCCACACCGGTGAGCAGCCCTACAAATGTCGGTACTGTGAACGGTCATTTAGTATCTCTAGTAATTTGCAGCGTCATGTGCGTAACATTCACAACAAAGAGCGTCCGTTCAAGTGTCACCTGTGTGAGCGCTGCTTTGGTCAGCAGACGAATCTCGATCGGCACCTGAAGAAACATGATGCCGACGCGGCCGGACTCGGAATAGGCCTCGGCGATTCGCCTTCGTCTAACGAGGCCGAACGGGAGGATGCCTATTTCGACGAGATTCGCTCGTTCATGGGCAAAGTGACGTACTCGGGAGCAGCAACGGTGGCCGGGTCCCGTGGGCATCACCATGGCACCAGTGGTCATCTGTACACACCGATCGATGTGACCACGGTCGAACCGGAACTGGAGGACGGATCCAGCGATGTCGAGAGCGACATGATCAACATCGACTCCGACAAAGAACCGATGAACAACAACGACACGATAGAGGTTTCCACCTAAGCAGGTGAAAGACGGCGGACAGCGAAGCGAACAATGTGTAAATAGAGCTGTTGATTGGACCAATAACCGAACGATTCTGCACGGTCCTAACGAAAATCCAACGGGATTTGTAAATACTTGAGGACCCATCCAAAAACACAACAATCTGTATCTAATGTTTCACCCTATGCTCACTATTAGCGAATTAATTCCGGGTTTAGATTACACCAAACACTGACCAGGCTCACTTACTATAGTATTATTATCAAGGAAATTATAAACAACAACAAAATCCTACTTTTAAGCTCACTAGGCAATAAGCAAACCATCATGTACAGAACCTGAACCCTCAATTTAAAGTTAATCGTAGATCAAATATTATTATTTTTGGGGTGATATTGATATTGTTTAATGTATTAACGATTTTTTTGCATTTTAGTCAGTGTATGAAAGTTAAGCTTTTGAAGCCCACTTGAAGGAATTTAGTTGATACCAAAAATTTTAAAACACGCAAGCACGATTAGAGTAGTTTCGGCGCTATAGGCAAAATTTGATTTTAGTTGGTAATTTATTGTTTGAGAGACTACCTAGTATAAAGGAAGATTTAATCCTTTTTCTACACTTGTAAGTCACGCCCGATAAGCGGAGAGGGGACATTTCCAACCAAGAGCAAAACAAATCCACTGTGTAAATTAACCGTTTTGATTTTGGTAGTTACGGCGATAAATATTAATCAAAAGAAGGGGAAATTTGTTAGTTAGTTCTAACCACTTGAGTAACTGCAAGAAAGAAACCTTACACTTTAAGAGCAAACTTTTCCAAGCATACGTCAAATAAATCAATTACAAATAAAAAATCGAGCGGTTGTTGTCATTTTTCTTCGAAACTCAAATTGAAACTAGATCTAAGAATTAATTTTTATAAACGGATTGGCCTATGGATCTAAGATTGGGCCTACGTCTACTATTAATCAATTTTATCTAGATGAACGCGTCATTGGGACGGTACTAATGGATATATTTGGCCGCTATTGAAAATTTAGTCGATTGCTGCATTTATGTATGGGCCCAAATTAGGGACATTTAGGTCGACATTACATACATTTCCCCTATCAGAAAGTTTTGCAACTGTACTGTCAAAATCCAACTTTTCGAGGTCATTTTCAGATGAGTTTAGTAAGTTCAGATCGAAGTAAAATTACAACGTGTAGGAAAAACCCGTCATTGCCATTCTAATTCATCCGAACCAGTAGGTATTATACCAAGCAGAATGAGTCATCTGCTGCTGATGAAGCCAATCAAATTTCTTAAAGTGCTTATCAAACATGAAAAGTAAAATTTCCCTTTGTTCTAAAATAACCCATAAAGTTGACGTTATGCGACATACGATTGCACAATGGCTGCCATTGTATACCCATTAAATTAATGTGAACTTGCTCAAAACATACTCTGTTGTGGAAGCAGGTGACTAGTGAGGGGGTGACGAAAGTGGTTCCCACCAGGGACACCCTAATCCACGTTTAATCTTCAGATATTTACAATGCTGTACTTGTACTGCTCATAGTCTAAATCTTATCAAAGTTTATGTAGCCACCTACAACCATTACTTTCATTGGTACTGTCCAAGAGATACTCAAATATTTTTGTAGTACAACTACGCGTTGGAGTAGTCTTGATAAATATTTGGAAGTAACGTTAAAATGGCAACAAGATGGTAGTCAACACAAGATACAAGATGGTAGTCAACGCGACAAGCAGTTTCAGCTTGAAAAAGAGCAATGTCTTCCATCTTTTCCGTTATCACCCTTTTTACAGATCTGAGAACTTATAACAGTGCCACGGTGTACGGGCTCAAGTTTTATTGAAACCAATAGATATAAACTTTCTTTATTCTCTCGATCAATGGGAGAGAATCCTTGAATAATATTAACAAAGTAAAATAATTATTGCAATCAAGAACCATCACCATACATGTGGCAAATATATACTTATGAGTAGCTAGCAAACATCTTTGAGGAACTGAAAAAGGATGGAGCTGATTGTGCTATCCTTCTTCTTTTTCTTCTTCTTCTTCTTCTTCTTCTTCTTCTTCTTCTTCTTCGCATTTCAAGCTTATTGCATATCGCATATTAGCTTATTGCGTGCTCTCAACTAAGTGTTCTAGATGCACTTACGCAGTTATTAATTGAGAGCTTTCGATGCCTGTACCATTTTTGCATTGGTATAATTGTGTGGCAAGTCCAATCATACTTCTATGCCCACGGAAGTCGAGAAATTTTCCAACCCGACCCACCTCCAGCATGGTCTTGCTTTGTAGCTGCACCTTTACCGACTGAGCTAAGGGAGCCCCGCTATCCAGTACGCAAATAAAAAAAAATCATTGAGACAGTGAAAAATGAAAATGATCGAGCTCCCCTATAGACTGAAGACAGTTTACAACAGGAAGTAAGTTCCATCCATATCTGACAAAAATGTATAACAGAGAAGCAATCTTATTGTGGATATAGCTTCGGGTTTTTATTTTTTGACAGGAAACGGACATCTATGACCATTAGGGTGGGTCACTGTTATATGGAAAAACGCAATCTTGAACTCATCAAGCGAGAACAACTATTTTTTGGTTCCACTTGGGGTACTAAACAAGTGCACAAAATTTAGCGACGATTGGTTGTAACCCGGCATTCTGCATGGCATTTGAAATTTATATGGAAATAAGTATGGAAAATATACTTCTATCCCTAGAGACCACACTTTTGTTGAACCATGTAACTAATCATGTCGAAAAAGTGCCTAATTGCTTTGTCCAAGGAAATATGGAGCTAGAAAGTCCCTAAAAAAAGTTATTAGTTTTAGTTTTCAAATATTTATAGTTTAAATAAAATGTCAAAAATCACTTTTTCTGCCAACACTGCCAAACTGAAATAATTTCGCGGTTTTACCCTTCTTACAAAGAAGGGTATATATATCACTTGAAAAACCGACTATCGATCCGAGGCCCGGAGGGCCGAGTGTCATATACCATTCGACTCAGCTCGACGAGATCGGAACATGTCTGTGTGTGTGTGTGTGTACGTGTGTTTATGTGAGTATGAGTGTGTGTATGTAACGAAATGAATGCGCTCACGTTTCTCAGCAACCGCTCAACCGATTTGGACAAACTCGGCGCCAAATGATAGGTCTTGGGGTTTCATTGAACGCTATTGAACGGTTTTGGAATCGGTGAACCGGTTCCGGAGATATGGCCGGAATAAGATCTGGTGAATATGGGCCTTCACGCTGGATTTAACGGAAAACGTATCAAAACCATCATGCGACACATCAAATTACTACAGAATTCAAAAATAAGATCAATGCAAGTCGTGTTAAGTGTTCCAGACCACATTGGACACACTTGGACATGTTCCGGGTACCCCGGGGAAGTTGCTTGAATATGAATTGAATTAAAACCCATTAAATCACATTAAAATACGATGATAAGGTGATTGGTAGCCTCACCAAATAGACTACACCCGGATATATTCCGGGTACCCCCAGGCAGTGGCGTAGCGTCACTGGATGACACGGGGGTGGGGTGCTTGGTCACTGATAATGACAATAAAATAAATAAACTTGAATAAGTAAGAAGGGTCTGATCACACCATAGGTGGATAAATTCGGGTTTTTTCTTATCTTATCGGTTTGATATCTTCAAATGAATTATTCAAAAACAATTGCTCCATCTCATACGCGTTGTTGACGGAGGGGGGGGGGTCTTATTATACCTTCCCGCCCCCTCTCTCAAATCTGTGGAAGTAACATTTCAAACTGAAATAACTTCAGAGTTTCGTATCTTATCGATTTGGTTTGTTTAGATGTTGAAGATCCCAAATAATCTCAACTCTATAAATTTAAGAACCTTCTTAAGATTTAAGAGGGAGGAGGAGGACAACTTGTAATCCAAATGTCCTAAAAGGGGGAGGGATCTAACAATCACTCTAAAACCCTTACATAATTGGTGGATGACGGACTGAAAACGATATGTGTTTAAATTTAAGCAATACATATTAAACTCACCTCAGTAAGGCAGTCTCTGCGGTGGTTTTCACTGATATAAAGCGCTCCGTCTCTCGAAGCTGGCGCTGGGGCGGATGCAAAAAAGTGTAAATAGTAAAAAGAAAATAGACATTATGCCATGAACCGAAATTCGAAACACAATCTGGATACATCTGAATACCTGGAACCAGTTCCGGTAGGGCCCCAAAAGTGACACTTCCAAAACCACATGTACTGGAAGCGTCCGATGAGTCAACATTGTAACCGTTTGGTCACAAATTCATAGGTTTTTGTCATTTATGTTATATATTCAGAACCTTCACGTTTCTTGTACAAAAACAGCAGTATACCACAGAAGTGATAGGGTTCTGTACCGCTGTGAAAATGTTATGTGCACCATAGAGCTACAAACAACTATACAAAACAAGGCTGACGGGATGAAGGAAAATTGGGAGAAAGAACGGCCATTGCCTCAACAGTCCGCATCGTGCTCTCTTGCCGTGCGGATCTATTTGCTTTTTGATTAAGGAAGTGTTACTACTACCTAAAGCTAGAACAAATTTAAACAGCACTTTTCAGTGCTCAACCTGTAAAAAATTTTCTACCTTGTTCAACTCTTATTCCTCTTCGATCCTTGTTTGGACCCTACCCGAGGTAATCCTTCTTGGATATCGATTTGGAAAATTCCTCTTCGATCCTTCAGATTATTATAGTAATCTGCTTGGAAGTCGATTTGGATAAAAATTTACTGCCGCCATGGCGCCTAAACGCAAAAGAAAGGGGCAAACTCTTGACCTCCCTTCTGATGAAATTAATTTGAGTAATCAATTTGATTTGCTCACGGATGATGAGAATGATCCATCATCCAAGAAAAATTCTTGTAAACTTTCCCGGCTTAATGCCAAGAAGGAAAAGATTCCCCCTATTGTGATAACCACTTCCGATTTCCATGCTCTTCGTATGAAACTTTTGAATTTCGTGCAAGTTAAGTTTTCACTACAAATTGGACGTCGGGGTGAATGCCGTGTATTGGCTGAAACCTTGGACGGATTTAAATGTCTTCTCAAGTATCTTACTGAGAAGAAGCACACATTTTTTACTTACGACACCAAAACTGAACGTGTGTTC